AAAGAAAGAAAGAAAGAAAGAAAGAAAGAAAGAAAGAAAGAAAGAAAGAAAGAAAGAAAGGAGAGAGAGAAAGAAAGAAAAGAAGAAATCAGGCTTCTGTTTAATCCCTTAGGAAGAGGATTCACTCTAAGATTTACAGTTCTAAAAGTTGTAATATTGTGCTTGGAACACAGAGAACCAGTTATTAACTTCTTCCTCCTATTATAAATAATAACAGCTCAGTCCAGGTTACCATGACCTCTGACAGATGTAGGAAACAAGTTATTTTCTCCTCGTGATTAGAGCACATTGCAAGACTTCTTGCCTTTTAATAAATGCCCTGGAACTCTGAGTTTCCCTTTCAACTCATTTAATTTCAACAATCTGTCAAAAAGAGCCAATAAACAAACACTGAATTACATTCTACTGCATTTTTAAACCCTCAAACTCCAGACTATAAAAACATCTTATGTGTCTCCCAACATGGCCACCCTGATGCTTTCCCATATACCACAGGCCACCCCAAATACAGAGGCAGGGGGCCAAGCTACAGGGTCTACTTGGAGCCAGTAGACAAGAGGGCGATGAGTCCGGATGAAGCACTTATGGACAAAATGTAGTTCCTGCAAGAATTTAATGTTAAGGAAAAAATGAGACTCCCTAAATTAGTTTTTTAACAATAAAAGAGCTTTTCCTTATTGACACAAATTATTAACTGTGCAATTTTAACTACCCTGGCCATCACCTAACCCCCAAAGCCAGCAGATATGAGCATAACAGAACTAGTGAAGACAGCACATTTATTCTGACTTTGACTCCTTGTAGACAGGAAGGCAAACCAAGTCAGACAGTGTAATATTGTAATAATGGTAAATATACATTATTTACCATAAAACTACAATTTATAAATTTAAAAAACACTAAGCCAGAAACTCTTAAACTCTAAGTCCACAGACACCTACCTATAGTTAGTGTTATTTAACTGACTCTGGGAAGTTTTTGTTTCCACTAGCATACCAGACAGCTTAAAAATAAAACAAACTACTGTTTATAGAATAACTTCTGAAAACGTTCTAAAGGATACACTGTGGGGTTGAAGTTCTTCAGTATAAAGAAGGAAGCAACAATAACCAGAACCAGGAACAGAGTGTTGTTATAGAAGATGGAGAATGTTGTGGCTTCATAATCGGCAACTTCATTCTTCTTCCACAGGATTCTAGAGACACAAGCCAAGGAAGTTTATACACGTGATCAAAACCTTGACATACCAAATGGTCCTCATTCACTAAAAAACAAACCTTTCTTTGTGTTCAAGGGTGAGAATGCATTTGCAGTATTAAATTTAGAGCAAATTATCTCCTTTTTTCTACTGAATTCTGTTTTTCTTATTGATGTTAAATTAACAGTTACTGAATGTGTTACTATTTCCCCAAATGCCCAAGGCTTCCATAGAGGGGACTGATACTAACTGCAACTGACATGATTTTGTAAGTTCCTAAAATACACATCTTTGTTTAAGAGTCCCAGAAAAGGGAGTCAGTCTCCAACCTAAGGCCTGTGGGACCAGCCATCTCTGTCCCAGGCCTGCTACAGATGTAGCCTACCATATTTATGGATGATGTCACATCACACACACACATCAAAAGGTTGACGCCCTTAGATCTGCACTTAAAGCCTGGTCTCCGTGGTTGGTATGCACAGGCTTCTCTGCCTTCAGTTTCTCTAGAGGCGGAGCTTGAGCCTTTAGTTTTACACCCTCAGAGAGAATGCCAAGAACACAGCAGACACAATCTCACCAGGTCTACCTTTAGTTGTCTTTACTGGATTTGAACAAGGAATCTATATAATCTTAAGGAAGATGTTTTTCACTTCCATAAAATTCTTACTTTTAAATCTGTTTTAAATGCTCCCATATTTATCTGCCTTTCATCCAAGAGGCCAAGAGAACGTATCAGAATGCTTGTGATTAAAGCAGATTTTATTCCATTTGGCTAATTAACTTTGCAAAATCATTTTTTAAAGTCTAGATTACACCCCATTGGTAGAGTATGAAGTCAAACTGATCTAATGCCTAAAGAAATTAACTCACTGGATTAAGACTTGCTTTTTTTCTTTAATACAACAGAAAAAAAAAAAAATGCTGAGACTCCACTACACACAGTACGGCAGCTATGTTTCCAGAAGCATTTGTATATAGGTACGAATTATTATACTTGGTTAAAGGCAAAAGGCTGCTTCACTGTGGAGTCATCATCAAAGGTTAAAAGTCCAACTCGAGACGCTTTGTCCTCCCAGGAAGATAGTCTACTGAGGTCAGATGATACACAGCCAGCCCCCTCCACCACCACCACCACCACAGGGACAAGTAATTGACATTTTTACTTAGCATGTGCTCTAATCCAAATCCAAGGAGCTTGCCATAGGAGCTAACGTGAGGGTACTAGCACCCAGTCGTCACTATAAAATCTGTACTCTCCCATACATGCTCTACTTTCTTGGTTTTATAAATACCCCCTACTTAATAAATTTAAAGTATAACCAACAACATTCTGATTTCAAAAAAGAGAAAATGTAAATCTAAACTGGATAGAAGACATTTTACCACTCTTACGCTGCTCCAAGGAAATCAGGCATAGTAAGCTACATAGATCCAATGTACCTGAATGCTAAAAAGTACTCAGAATCAACACAGCTATTTTTAACTCTGGCATAAGACCCAGTGAGCTATGGCATGCTTTTATTCTGCTGATTAAATCATCCCGGTGACATCTGAGCAGGTCTCCCTAACTCTCTTCGTGCCATGACCTGAAACAGAATCACCTCCAAAACAACTGAGATGAAAGTCTGATGATCACAATCCAATCCATGATACCCCAGCTCCCATGTTACATCAGGCTACATAAGCCAGGACCATCCAAATGTCTTTGAAGCATTTCTAGTCTACCACATATTGGTTATTTTGAAATAATTTAAAAAACTCCAAATGTATTCATTACCAATGCTTCTACCAAAGTTTTACTAGTAGAAAATTTAGCTTAGGAGAGTATTTCCCAAGCAATTATTCTTCAGGGTCAGCCAACTATGACAGGAGAAAAGGGGAACAGAAACTGTTACAAGCAGAAAAGACTGTCAAAAGAGCGTCAGGAAACCAAGAAGTAAAAGTCACACTTAGGAGCTTGCGTCTCTAACTCGCCATTGCTTATTTCCACCCCTGAGTGGCAAGATACAAACCCGCCACAACAGTTACAAATGGAGCCTGGAGAGAATGACAAACTTTTTTGTCACCTTTTCTTACATCAAATCTCTTGGAAGCAACATATCCTCTGGAAATAACTTAGAAAATCTTAACGAGTCTCTGATCTGTCATCCAGACAAATCATGAATCTAGACCTGGGTAAAAGTGTCTTTGAGGGAAACAGTAACAGCACTCACTTCTACTGTCGACAGGAGCAATTTTATAATCTGCACTTTATACATCGACCTGACAACTGTGAAAAAGCTAAGTTAACAAATGGCAAAGTGGTCTCACTCCCAGTTCTTGGACTGGGACTCCCAGTGCTTGGACTCACTGGTAATGGCCACCTGAACACCACACTGAGAAAAAAACTGAGACATGCCCCAGGATGAAAAACCAATACACACAGCAGACTGGGCAAGTCTGCAGTGGACAGGTGAGACCTATTTGCCATTTCCAACATAACCATCTCCAAAATCTTGATTTTTGTGTCAAGTACTCTGAAATTTATATAAGTATGATATGTACCCCAATTTAACAAATATTGTCCTACACAACTCAACAAAGGCGGTTTTAGGGTTAGAGTCTCTAACTTTTATTCCTACTCAAAATTATGCAACAAAACAGCTATGCAGCCAAACCTCACTATTGTTTCCTACAACAGGCCTTCAATGCCGTGACTTTAATAGCATGTCCTTATTTTTATAAAATATTCAAGGAAGATAATCATTTTGTTAATGTTCAGTCCCTTTCCAAACCACTGTAGAAGCACTTTTCATTAAGTCACTTGGTGTTCCTTAAATTAGGATCCACTTGATAAAGCCCTTCCAAGGGCCAGCACCAGTAAGTCTTCTTTTCTGCAGGGCTTGCATGCTGCTTTCCATCAGAGCAAAAACAGCATGACCTCACATGCTTCCTGAGCACTTGGACTCACAAGTAAGAACAGTGCTCAAATGCTACAGGTAATTCCACAGTCCTCATTTAAATAGCTTTTCTTTCTTTTAGATTCTTCTGGTCTTATAAAATTCTATTACTTCACAAGGCCCACACAAAGTCTTCCTGGAGGAATTGCAGTGAAACTGCTGTCCCAAAAAGCAGTGTGCTAATGCTTAAGATCCATGAAAGCAAACTATGCACCATGCTGCTATTGAACATCTGGTAACTTTTTTTTTTTTTTTTTTTTTGGTTTTCTGAGCCCTGGTTATCTTGGAATGCACTCTGTACACAAGGGTAGCCTGAACTCACAGATTTGCTTGCCTCTGGAATTAAAGGCTTGGAACACCAATACCTGGCCCAATCTGGTAACTCTTATGCATCAAGTTACTTGATCAATTCAGGGCTTAGGCAGTTCATACTCTGTGTTTGAGGGGTGGGGGGAGGTTAACAAACATACCACCACAGCCTCAAGCAACAAAGGACAAACCTAGTTCTTTCTTTCCCCCAAACAGTGCATCCAGTATTCATAAATGCATGGACACCCCTAGGGAATCTCGATTATCAAAGCTACTAAAAATATTAACATAATACCCTACAGACTTGGGTTAAATGACATACAAGCTCTGTTGCTTCCTAAATTCCAGTGAAATAGTTACTAGCATAAGCTTCCAAGTTGGGCAGTCTGTATTATCATGGATCTATGTATCGACAGCCAAGTTATCAAGCCTTCTGACCCTTGTTTTCCTTGAGTGTAAAATGGAGATCACAACAGCACCTACTAGCTCACTCTTCATGACTGTGTGGTTATAATTACATCATCTGTCCTCCTTCCTTTTTTTCTATATACCCCCTTCCATGTATGCCCCTGTGCTCCCTTCCAAATTCACAGCCTTTTTCTTTAACTGGTGGTGGTGATGGTATATGTCATGTGTATTCCTAACTATAAAAATACAACCTGTTCGGTCTGTATGTTACTTTATGTATGTTTTCAGAGCTGACTATTTGGTATTGGCTAACCAATTGATGTGAGATTCCCTGGTAAAGATACACTGTTTTTCCTGCTCTCAGCATTCCTTAGTTGCCTGTAGTTCTTTGTCAGAGCTGGGGCCTCCTGAATGTTCCCCTTCTACATCAGTTTGTCTATCTGTATCTTGTTCAGGTCATCCATGTTGATGAGATTTAATGAGTGTAGCTTCTCTGACATTTTTAGTAGACTAGAATCTCACAGCAAACTTCCTGTTCTTTTGGTTCTTAGAATCTCTCTCCTCTCTTCAGTAACAATTCCTGAGCTGTGACTGCAGGAGTTACGTAGCAGATACTTTACATGTACTTATTCTTTGAAACAAATCAGATGTATATAGCTCAAAGAAAATACTCTAGTGGTAACAAAAATTTGAAAAAGTCAGCCACTGCTATCACCATTGCTACTATTTACACAATTCCAACACCTTTAATGAGAATTTAAAAACTGATTTCTTCCCAAGGTTTATGACTACCACTTTAAATAAGGAGTCAAGGAGGGGTAGAGAGAGAGCGATTAAGAACCCAGCACCCATGGCCCCACCTGTAATCCCTGTATTACACCCTGAATGCACTCCTGTAGTTCCAGCTCTGAGAAAACAGAAGACGAGAAGTTGCTGGGCACCAAGGCTCTTGGGTTGCTCCAGATTCAGCAAGACCCTCAAAGGAACACAGTGGAAAGTGACAAAGGAACTAACCTGAACCTGAACGGTCTTCTGATACCTGACACATCTTCTAGCCTCTAATGTGTACACCTATGTGTGCGCGCTCACACAGGCGCACGCATGTACACACACACACACACACACACACACTCCAAACCTTTCATCTTTTTCCTTCCGGGACATCTTTCTATTATCGGCTTCAGAAAGTTTTCGAGTCACTTCTTTGGAAACAGCATCCTCCCTCTTCTGTGCTACTCTGAAAGAAAAGACAGAAAAAGGTTCCACATGCTCTAGAGATGAAAATCAACCTCAACAGAGCACTCTGTACTCTTATTTTCTACTGTCAACTGAGTGATACTTTTTATTTCAAGAAAGCCAACTATACAAAAAGTTCCAAGTTTATTGCACTTATACAAACCTAAGAGAAGTTCGAGAAATTTTCAAGATGTGGTTTCTTAGTTATGGGATTTGATTTCTGCTTGAAAGGAAGCGTTTTCCAAAGCTGAAATATTTAATATGGACATAAAAGTCAAATGATATTAGCACAATTCAATTAGGAATTACTATAACTACATTTTATTTTCCCGAGGTTCACAACTTGATGTTTTATGAATGATCCAATTTCAATTCCAAGTAAACTACAGAATAGACAACTTGATTTAATACACGAAGAAAAATAAGAAACTATCTTAAAACTATGCTTTTAACTCCATTCCAAAGGACAATTTCAATTAAAAGAAATAGTAAAAGCATGGTCAGAGGCTGACCATAACATTTTTAGTTAAATTAGCCACTGGTTTGAGTTAACACTAAGTCAGACAGAAATAGTTTGAATAAGAACTCAGAACTCAGATCAGAATCTGAAGATCTTGGAGAAGTATGTGCAAAACATTCTCATCAGCTAGTCATGATAATAAATGCCTGTAATCCCAGCACTTGGGAAGTGGAAGCACAAGATCAGGAGTTAAAGGGCAGCCTCAGCTACATGATACCTTGTCTCAGAAAAAGTATACAGATCAAAACAACAACAACTACAAATCCACAAATGAATTTATCACAGGGATTATTAGTTTAAAAAAAAAGGCAAATTTAAATAAAATATAAAAAGTCCATAGACTAAGACATTTATATTCAACGAAGTATATTTTCACAAGAGCTACCCTATAGAAGAGAAAGTAACAACAATATGCAAACTTTCTATAGAGTACCTGCCAGCCCCACGGTACTATCCATTGTAAGATCATTCAACATGACATCCCAACAAGAGAGAACACAGAAACAGATGGAGACCTAGTCACTGTGTTCAAGTGACTCACACTGCCAGACTGTACTCAGTTCTAGTCAGTATACTCAAGAAAATTGGAGAAACTAGGATGGACTCCAAGAGAACACCCAAGATCATTCATTTGAGACAGTAGGTTTCTGTCTTGTTTCAACCACAAGAGCCTTTAGAATCTAGAGTCTAGATGCAAGGTAAGCATAGACAGTGGCTAAGCTGCAGGGGGATCATAAAGGAGAGTCATACAAGGTTCTATTCTGATGGCTTCTCTATCCATAGACGTCCATGTCCCATAAGAACATAGTCCAGAACAGTAGAGGACCAAATGAGCAGGTAGTAAAGAAACTGCCAAGCAGAAAGATGACAAAGATGACCTGCTGAGTCTGCTTGTCTAGCAGAACTTCGATCATGAACCCCAAGCCTTTGCATGCAAGAACGACAGCAAGAAAGCAGCTAAGGCCACTCCTGGTCAATCTCTTAAATAAAACCCTGCTAACTGAAATCCTAATACACTACAAATTACTTGCCAATTACAAGAGCCTACCAGAAAGACAACCAAATAAATAATGAGCAAAGTCAGGAAGTCTCTGCAAAGGTTTTCCGAGTCTTGAAATAACAGACATAAAAGAATAGAAAGCAAGGGGTCCTGAGTGAAAGTAAGTACAAGACACATTCAAAGGATGACAAGAAGGCTAAGTCTGAAGGCTTAGGCAGATTTACAGGAAGGAAGCAGATGACTTTGATTCTAAGAACCTGAAACAATTTTTGGTGTTACTGTATTAGAAAAAAGAAGGCTATGATATGTTAAGATAGTTAACAAAATAAAAATGACAAAGAGGAATATATTACTTCCCAGACATTTGGCTAAGATATGTGATCTTTAAAAATGATGATGATGACATATTTTGCCTGCTTATAAATCTGTACACCACAGGCATGCCTGACACCCAAGACCAGAAGGCATAAGAGCCCCTAAAACTAGAGTTACAGACAGTTGTGAGCTACCATGTGGGTGCTGGGAATTTAAACTGAGTCCTCTAGAAGAGCAGCCAGTAAGCTTAACCAATGAATCACCACTCAAGCCCATCATGTGTGTGATTTTTATCCCATAAAATATAAACAATGCAAGGAAAAGTATCATCAAATAGCTTTATACAGTACATGTCAGAGTACACTCTACATTTTTGTTTCAAGAGACCAGATGGAGACTGCTATATCAGTCTAAAGAAAAATAATTTCTCATCAAGTGTGGACACTGTGAGAAATTTTTAAAAAGTAAGTAAATAACAAAATTAAGATCAGAATCCCTACTGTCTTTAAAAATGACTTTAGAAGCTGGTGAGAAGGCTCAATAGCTCAGAGTACACTTGATCTTGCAGAAGGGCTGAGTTCAGTTCCCAGCACCTCCATCAGGTGGCTCAAAACTATGTGCAATTCCAGTTCCAGAGATCTAACACTCTCTTCTGGCCCCTCAGGCAAGGGACACACCAAACCACACAGACAAACGCAGTTCAAAAGTAAAAAAGTAAATTATAAAAAAAAAAAAGAAACCTAAAAGGCCCTATTGAATAAACAAGAGAATAGCCTGCTACACCCTCCTGTTTTATCTTTAGGAAAGCAGAGTGTACAAGTGTTTAAAACATAAAAATTTACTAAGGTAAAACTTGGGTTTTCAGGGGTTGGAGATATGGCTCAGTGGTTAAGACCACTGACTGCTCTTCTAGAGGTCCTGAGTTCAATTCCCAGCCACCAAATGGTGGCTCATAGAATATCTGTAATGGGATCTAATGCTTTCTTTTGGTGTGTCTGAAGACAGCAATAGTCTCATATTTAAAAAAACAAAATGTATTAAAAAAAAAAAACCTGAGTTTTCTTCTCCTAAAGCTATTAAAATAATTTGTCTTATATATGTGATCTTGAAATTCAAGAAATATGGTTGTCTTCTACAGTGAATAGACTTACAAGATTTAAAAAAAAAAAATGTAACTGGCATTGAAAATGTCAGAGAATTTTTAATTTTTTTTGCTCCCAAGATCCAATGCTATCTTCTGGTGTGTCTGAAGACAGCTACAGTATACTCATATAATTTTTTTTTAAAAAAGAACATTGTATTTTAAAAAAACTTGAGTTTAATAATTTGACTTATAATATATGTGATCTTGAAGTTCAAGAAATATGGTCGTCTTCTACAGTGAATAGACTTACAAGATTTTAAAAAAAATATGTAACTGGCATTGAAAATGTCAGAGAATTTTTAATTTTTTGCTTCCAAAATTAGTAAATGGGCAGTTTAGAACAATTTCTAGAAAGAAATTCATTGAGTTTTAGAAGCACTCATTTATTTACTAGATTCGTTTTTCTGATTAAACCATCAATTAAAGACTAGGATTAAATATTCAAACCCCACCCTCAACACCTATGCCCACTGAAGTGTCAGTCATATGGCTCAAGGGGTTATCAATTCTCCAGGTACTGCTCTCTTCACACTTCAAACTGACGCTTACAAATATAAACCGTGTTTAAGAAGACACCCTACCATAACATATGCAGGTTGGGGTTAGGGTACTTACTTGTGCTTGAGAACAAATTTTACATTCTTGTATGCAAAGGCTACCAAGTAAGTGCTTACTAACGTCATCACACTGTAGAGAACAGCAGACTGGATAAGATCCATATGCCATATTCTCCAATACAACCCTGAGATAAGACAAAAGGAAGGGACACAAAACATTACTACCCCATTACACATGCCTGCTAGATTAACTACAGCTAAACCAGGTAAATGAGAGTCAGTAAATCCTACCCAGGATCTGAACAACTTCCCTACATGTGAGATAGCCAATACACTGGGTTAGTCCCAGTTCAGGGCTTTCCCAGTTCAGAAAGTTAGGTTGTGGGGTAATTGCCAGTCTAGAAATTTCTTCATCTTCCAACTTGAGAACAAACTGCGAGTAGGGATAACAAATAAAAATTTCATTCATGGAATACTTTAAAAATACAGGCCATTTTAAAGCAAATGCTGTCCCAAAACATTGGTTAACTTGCTGACGTGGCTGCTCTCTGAAATCAAAACAATGCTCTTTCGGGCCAGTGAAACAGGGGACTCCACACCACATTCACTGCACACTGAGTTTTCTACAAAGCCAAAATAACAAAATACTTTTGGACGTGATTGGCCTGCAACACTGCAGCAGTGTGGGTCAGGAAACAAGAAAACAGTCTTGGCATTCAGGCTGGCAGTTTCTCATTCAATCGACAAGTCTCGAGTTGCTCTCTAGGAGTTATTGAAATCCTAAACAAGGCTGATCGCGGACCTCTGGCACGGCCTAACTTGTCATTCTGCACGTCAAAAGGATGCTCAGGGGTGAGAGCAGGTTTGCCACAGGTCACGCTGCTAATTCAGTGAAAGTTAGCGGCGGGTCTGCCACCGGGTTCATTAAAGACCTCGTAGTGTCAAACAGTTGTGAGGGGAAGGGCAGTGTACCAATAAGAGTCGGGGCCAGAAGCCGCGCCCGACTCAAAAGCAAGCCGCGAGTGACTCTCGAGGACGCTGGCCCCGACACTAGGCCTCCCCGCCGCGCCCGCCACGTCCCCGCCGCCGCCCGCCCAAGGCTCACAGATGGGGATTGCAGAAACGATGAACGCGTTCCCGAAGAACAGCGCCGACGATTTGGCTGACAGGTTGCGGCTGAAATCCTGAAGGAGCAAGTCCTCCTCGGACTGCTGCTTGGAGCCGCCTTTGGGAGCCATGGCCGAGCTGAAGACTGGAGGCTGGGAGCAAGAAGACAGGAAAGCTTAGAAGGCCTCGTGTCCCTCAGCTCGAGCCACGTATCCGTCAGCGCAACGTGGAGGCGGGACTCTACAGGCCACGCTGCTTCGGGATTGGTGAGCCTGCCGTCGCTTCACAAGGCTCGAGGCACGATTGGGCATGCGAACAAGACTTCCGCATCCTTCAGCGTACGTGGCTCCTCAACGCCACAAGGAATGGAGGGATTTGTAGTTTAGTGTGTATTTGTTGCCCTCACCCTATCTCAAGCTGATCTCTAATTCTCCTGCCCCAGTCTCAAGAGGCAGGCTTGGATACTCAGTTTTAACAAACTAACTAATAACTTTATTGGTATTTCATTTCACATGTACACTTTTTATTTCTCTTTGAATTTATTACATTGATTAAATGATTGGTTGATTGATTGATTGATTGGAGGACCGTGCCACAGAGTTGTCAGAACACAACTTGAGGAAGTCAGTTCTCTCCTTTCACTTTCTGGGTCCCAGAGATTGAACCAATTTGTCGGTTTGTGTCTTTACCCTCTGAGCCATCTGCATGGCCTGGGTTTTAATTTTGTATTATTATTATTATTATTATTATCATTATTATATCATTTTAATCAACAAAACCTCTTAGTCACTGAAAGACTCTCTCATTATAGCCTTTGGAAACCTGAAGATAAAAATACTCTTGTGGATTCAGGACATACATTCAGTAATTCAGTGAACATATGGACGTATGGTTAACCCTGAACATTGGAGAAGAAAGTTATATCTAACACTTGTACACACTCATCATGTAGCCCAGATTGGCCTCAGACTCATCATGTAATAGGAGACAATCTTGAACTTCTGACAGCTTTGCCCATGTACCTGGTTTAATAGCAGGTTCTGGGAACTGAACTCAGAACTTCTTGCATGTTACGCAAGCACTTTAGCAGGTGAGATATATCCCTGGCTCCTTATCACACTTAGAATCCTTGGATATGCACATTATGGTGCCCATTGCAGATGGTGAACCTGAAGGTGACAGACAGGCTCTAGTCACTCTGACATGGGTTCTATTCACCAAAGAAATAGACATAAGGGAGTCACTAAAACCATGAATTCTTCGTGATGAAGTAATGATCTTCAAATAATGATAATATTCAATACTTGCATCATGCATTTAGAAATTACTACTATTTTGTTTTTTTATTTCAGTTTAATCCTTTTTAGAGGAGCATGACTTCCAATAGTATTCTAAGTGAAACTAAAGACAACCTTTGGCAGAACGCCTCTGAAGCACAGAAAAACGATATTAACACAGACGCCATTTTAACTGACCAACTGACCACTTTTTCTTGAAAAAGACATACACAACCACTTCACTTCCCAGAAAATATTTCTCTTCACTACACTGCTGCAAACATTAAACTGCACAGAGCAAAACAGCCTCAACCTCCTGCTTCCCTCGAAGCGGTCTGTAGATAGCTCTCTCCCTTTGCTTTATCTGAATGGCAGTTGATCTGCTGAGCAATGTTCCCAATGCTCCTCAGTGAGCTTTTGATCTTCAGTCTTTTTTAAATTGGTTCTCCACACAGATTCTCCAGTGAGTTTTCCTGAAATATAAGTCCATCTATTATAAACAGCACAAGTCCTCAATTTCACCACCAAATAAATAAGGACCATCTAGCAAATTTTCAAGCAAACTGCAAGTACTCACTTCAGAACCTCTGAGTCTATTCCAGATGCTGCTGGGGTTTTCTCTGCATTACATGGTAATGATAGAAAAAGAAACTTTTCTACATTCTTAGCTCCCTAGATTTTCCTGCTTTAACAAATCATACCCATTTTATTCCTTCACATTGGTTAAAAGGCTACATTTGATAACCACTTATTTTAACCAACTCATAAACAGAAATTTGGGAGCCTGTCTTTGTAACTGTGCTTCCTTCTGGCTATAAAGCAAAGATATAAAAAGAACATGAAACTTAAAAATCAGAAAATTAAAAGATCTCTTATAATTCAAAGAGTTTTTAAAGAAAGAAAATCAGAAATAATAATGATGAAGCTAAAAAGAATTGTACCTAAGGAAAAAATATTTAAAGTAGAAAAAGGTTGAAGTCAACTAAATAAAAATGTATGAAAAGTGGGACTGAAGAGATGGTATGAAATCTGTTTGGAGTATGTACTGTTCTTACAAAGGAACAGAGTTCAGTTCCCAGCACCCATTCCCTTGACTGACAACTGTCTATAACTCTAGCTCCAAGGGGATCTAATGCCTTGGAGCATATATGTGCCTCCAGGAGTGCACATATGCATATGTGTGTAACCAGCCCTCCCCAACACGCACACGTGTGTACACACACATACATTATTTAAAATATTTTCTAATTTTAATATTGAAAATTAAAGTAATTTAAAAAGACTTAGCTTAGAAAAACAAACATGCTAGAAAACTGGAAAGAATATAAAGGGCCAGGATGTAACTCAATGGTAGAGATTGGCCTACCTTGTAAAAAGAAGCTTGGGTTCAGTGCCCAGCACTGAAAGGAAACAAATATGTATATATGAAATTTTAAAATTTAAGGGGGGTTATGATAATGGATCTCTGGGAATTAATATAGAAAAATTGCCATTCTACTAAAAGCAATCAACAAGACTCAATGTAATCACTTTCAAAACACAAACAGAATTCTTCACAGATCTTGAATTTTTCAGCTTCATATGGGAAACAAAACAAACAAAAAAACAGAATAGCTAAAACAATCCTAAATAACTGGAGAACTGCAGGAGGTCTCACCATCCCCAACTTCAAATTGTATTACAGAGCTATGGTAATAAAAACACCATAGTTATTGGCACAAACACAGGCATTGATCAATGGAATTGAAGATGCAGATAAAAATCCATATACCTATGATACCTGATTTTTTTTTTAAATAAAGAAGCCAGAAATACACATTGGGCATAGTTCAGGGAGACAGCATCTTCAAAAAAAAATAGTGTTGGTCAAATTGGTAGCTGCATGTGGAGGAATCCAAATAGAACCATCTGCATCACCCTGCACAAAACCCAACTCCAAATCGATCAAGAACTTCAACATAAAACAAGATACACTGAATCTTATAAAAACGGAAAATGGAGAATAGCCTTAAACTCATTGGCCCAGGAAAAGACTTTCTGAACAGGACACTGTTAGCATGGGCACTAAGATTAACAATTAATAAATGGGATCTCGTGAAACTGAAAAGTTTCTATAAGGCAAAGGACACCATCATTCAGACAAAGCAGCACCCTACGGTATGGGGAAGATTTTTACTGACCATACAACCAATATATGTGTGTGTGTGTGTGTGTGTGTGTGTGTGTGTGTGCATATAATATAATAATATATACATATATTTCAAGAAGTTAGATATCAAGAAAACAAACCAATTAAAAAATGAGGTACAGATCTAAACAGAATTTTTAAAAGAGGAATCTCAAACAACTGAGAAATGGTTAAATGTCCAACATTAGGGAAATAGAAATCAAAACTGTTTTGAGATCCCAACTTATACCTGTCAAAAATGGCTACAATCAATAAAACAAGTGACAGTTCACGCTGGCAAAAGTGTAGACTAAGGGGAACATGCATCTATTGCTTGTGGAAGTGCAAACTTGTACACCCACTATGGAAATTAGGTGGTACCTGAGGAAGGTGGGAATCAATCTACCTCAAGATCCAGCTATACCACTCTTGGGCATATACCCAAAGGTTGCTTCATCCTACCACAAAGATGTCTGCTCAGTTGTGCTCACTGCTGCTCTATTCAAAATAGCCAGAAATTGGAACCAACCTAACTGTCCTTCAACAAATGACTGAATAAAGAAATGGTACACTTATACAATGGAGTATTACTCGGCAATTGAGTGAAATCATGAATTCACAGGTTACTAGATGGAACTACTAAAAACAAAACAAAACAAAAACTTTCCCAGACCCAGAACAACAAATATGATGTGTATTTGCTTATATGTAAATATTAGCTGTTAAATCACTAACAAGCAAGCTATAATTCCTAGAGTCACAGAGGTTCGGTAAAGAGTAAGGAACTCCAGGGAACAGATAGGTCTCCCTAGAAAAGGGAAATTGAATAGATAGTAAAAGATGAATGTAGGGGTTAGGCTGGAATAGGAGGATCAAACAGAGTGAGAGGAAAGAAAGGAACAAGGGAGGGACATGAGAAGAAACAACTAAAATTAAGGGTCATTTGAGGGGTCATATGAAAACATAATACAGTAGAAGCTTCATGAAATACGTACCTCTATGAAGACAATCTAAATGAAGTTGCCAAATAATAGAAAAGACAGAGCCTCAACTTGACATTTCTTGTCACCAAACCAAGCTTCCAGTACTGAGAATGGGTTACATCTAATTGAATTGTTGGTCTACCATGGGAACTCCTAAAAACTTGGTGTGCCCAAGACTGTAATTTGTTCTCCACAAAACTGATAACAAGGCCCTCTTGCCAAAGACAGTGCCTACATAACTGATTGAATATTAAGTTTAACTGGTACCTACATAAAGCCTTATGTGTTAGAATGCTTAGTACATGAAGGTACTCTGCATGCTACCAAAGAAGAAATGTGACCAACCCAGCCACAAACCCATTGATCAACAATGGTGTCCTGCCTGCAAGAAGTGTTAATGCAGTGGTGCACAAAGCTTGTGGGGATGACCAACCAATATCTGATTTGACTAAAAACCCACTCCATAAGATGGAACCCGAACCTGGAACTGCTTGGGTGACCAAAAACTTGAGACTAAATAGCCCAAACACTCATGATAAAATCAAATACTACTGTTCTATTTAAAAAAAAAAAAGCAATAAAATGACTCCTAATGTCATTCTGCTGTGCTCATAGCTCAATGCCTTCTCAGCCATTATCAGAGAAGCTTCCTCCTGCAGCAGATGGGAACAAATACAGAGAGCCCCAGCCAGACAATATACAGAGAGTGAGAGAACTCAGAACACTGTCCTAAGTGTAATGTCTTCATCAAATCCCTCCCCTCAGGGTTCAAG